GTCCCCCGGCGAGGCTGCTCGTGATTTTGGTGACCGTGACGAGGGCGACCGCTAAAGAAGAGCTGAGAAGACATGTGTTGGAGCTACCATTAAAGTAGTTGTCTACAGAGAGGGTTTTTTTGGGAAGAACATGTAGATCAGTTCAGGCTCCAGTTCATTGGTGCTTGCGATCTGTAAATCAGTCTTCAGCCGGTAACTTAAAATCAGAACAAACAGACCGTTCCGCTTATTGTGTGTTTGTAAATGCACTTTAATTGAAGTCACCCTGCAAAGTATGAGGCCTGTTATAAAACAATCTGGACGTTAAAAGTGAAAATATAATCTCATCCTTTTTGTTCAGTATTGTATTTAGCTACAAAGTGGAATTGGGTTATAAAATTAAAGTACTGTAGTTTATTGCCCGGTTTGGTGGTATTGTACAAACACACTTAATTGCCAGTGTTTGTGGGGTTTTTTTGTTAACTTTTAATTTATGTTTTCATATAAGTACTTTTCTCTCAAAGGCTGGTGCTGGTTTTGCATTGCTTAAAGTACCTTAGATGTCACTTATTATCTGTCTTCAGGTTTTGTTTTTTTATATTCTGTTTACTGAGGCAGCCTATAGTAGCTTTTTCACACATTCTCTGAAGTTGATGGATGTGATTGAATAATATATTTTTAGTATGCCTTACTAAGTACTAGTGCTTTAAACTGTAATTATTCAACTGAATTTGTAAATAAAATATGGAATTCCAAGAGTCTGAATCTGCAAGAATGATAGCATGCTTATGAAATGAGGTAATTTGGGCTTATTTCAGCTGGCAAGTTAGTATCTTGGAGTGCATTTCTTCTTCCTACAGGTAAACACTCCTCAGAGTAAGGAACCAAACCTGGAAAATTTAACTAGAAGAAATTGTCTCACTTCCATCAGTGAATACCCATTCATTGTGACACTGCATATTCTCTTTAGTTTAGAAAACTTGATGCTATATGACTTTTAAAAAATACATTTTCCACATAATCTTTTAGTAGTTGTAGTCTAAAGAGAACAGCAAACTTACATTGTTTAAATACTCTTTAAGTATGCTTTAGAAATATCTAAAATGTAAATTTGTCTGAAGAGGTACAATATCTGAGTAGAACAGTGTGATGGTGTGCTCCTGAGGGATAATGTGGGGCTTTCTGCTTGGGGTTAATATTTAGTTTTACAAGTGTACTTTGGTGTTTTCTGTGTTGGTAAAAATGACAACAAAGAATCCTTCAGTGATCCTAGGTCCAGGACTTCCTGTGTCTGAGTTTGGGAGAAATGCCCCCCCCATATTATTGAACCAAGTAGCAGTGATATTGAGTTCTGTTTAACAAAATCTTAATAAAGGATTGATATTTGGTGATTTTGTTTTTGTAATGGTGAATATATTATGAGATCAATATTCTCAAAGTTATAACTTGCTTGTTGAACTGTTGAGGCAATTACTTTAATTTGGGATTATTTTTTATTTATTTATTTTTTATTTTTTGCAAAGTTATGAATCTTCCAACTTAAGGATGTAGCCAACCACCTCTTGTATGTGTGTGTTGCAGAGGTGTTGAAGGGAGAATAGTAACAGGAACAGTCCTCATGAAACAGTTTATACAAACATCCTCCCTTAAGCTGTATGTGCGGTTACTTTCAGCTGTTTAATTTCTGTCTTTTTTTGCTACATGTATTGGCTGTCCGTTAAACAGTAGCTGAGCCCCCTTTTTGTTTTATAGCTGCTTTCCTCAGCTGACTGAAGGACTTGAACCTTCTGTGTGTGCCTGGGTCTGTGCTGAAACGGCAAAGGCTTCTTTAGTAATACTTGGGAGTTGCCTGTAATGGCAGATAGGAGGTTGAAAACTAGGAGAAGGTAGAAGCAGAGTTTACACGAGACTGCAGATTGGACTTCTCTGTGGAGGAGGGTGGGGAGGGACATCCGTGACTATAAGCAAACCTTCCCCCTCCCTTCACTCCTCTGCCATCGCTGAGCTGTCTGTCCTCCTCTTTCTAGCTTCTATGTAATTACTGGCGTGGTTGTCTTTCGGGACAAGTGAGTTGTTTTGATTTGTTAGATAAAATTCTTGTTTTAATTGGAGCTAGTGTGTAACAGCAATTTGAGGGGATATATTGTGCTGATCTGTTTTAAAGAGCAGGCTTTGAAAAAGTGTTGTTCTTCCACAGGCTGAATTTTTTTTTAACTAATGAAGAGCTTTAAAAGTATTAATTAAATGGGGCTTCTTTTCATTTTAATATTCTATTAAATATTAAAATTGGAAAGAGCTTGGGACACTTGGCTTTATTTTTCATTGCCTCTTAAACTAAGCTTAGCTGAAAATCTTGTTCCAAAATTTCTCTCTGTTTTGATGCTGGAAATTGAGTTTTCAGTCACGATTTTTAAAAAATAAAATTACATTTAGACCTTCTGTAACAATAAGTAACTGTTGCAGAAGCTGATACACGAGCTGCAGTGTTTCCACATAAATAAGAAAAATGGGGCAGAAAGAGATGAAATCTGCTAAGTATTCTGTATTGGCTGCAATTTTGTATGCATAGATCTCGGGCAAGAAGAAAATACTTTTTCCTTATCCTAAAAAGAAAACAGTAATTTGGAACAGTACCTTTTCACTAATTTGCAGTGTTGGACTCCCATTAGGTGTGTCAAAGCAGCAATACCTTAGCTTAGTGATAGTACTGAGTCAAGTGGTTGACAACATACTTCACAGAAATTGTTCAGTGTTTGTTTTTTTTTTTAACATATTTTATGCTGATGGATAAAGGGAAGGTAATCCTATTACTTATTACTTCAATAAGATAAGCATGGGTGAATGTAGTATTGCTTTGGCAGTCCATGCTAGCAAAACAGTAAAGAGCATCTGGATAATTTGTGGCAGAAAATACGCTACTGATTTTTCAAGTGAATTTTCACTATTGACTTTGCTTCAGATACTAATGAACAGAAAATAAGGTGAACTATAGTAGTGTTATGAGTAGCTGATTGTGTAGTTTACTGAAAGTTACAATGGGAAAAGGAAATACATTTTCAAGTATATATTTCTGTGGAGATAGCCTTAAGTATTTCTAGGACTTGTAAGATTTCAGTTTAGTTGCGGTAACAGATTTTTGTCTAGCCCTCATTGAAAGTACTGAGAAAAACTGACTTTTTTGAAGAACAAACTCTCATGTAAGCTTCAAATCTTGTATAATTTAGATAGGCTGAGCATCCTTTTATATAAAGATAACTGGTAGCTAGTCTTCACATTAACTGTGGAATGGTCTACTTAAACCCTTTGTTAAGATACAGTTTTAACTACCGCTAAATCATGTTGGCAGATGTACTTTTTGAGGGCTGTGAGAATGCTTGCAGTTTTTCCTGTGGGACCACATCCCCTTGAAACAAGCAATCACAGGAGCTGAAGTTGCTTTGTTGATTACTGGGAGAACAAATGCTAGGCAAGGAGTAAATGTGTTGAATTCTCTGGAGAGATGAAGTCAGAAGCTCTGTTTGCTTGATATTTTGTGTTGCTTATAGGTAGTATGTGTTAAATTTATTTTTTTTTAGGGTTTGAGTAACATTTCCTGAAAATTTCTGGGGTGTGTCAAGGCAGCAGCATATCACAGTAGTGATACTGTTGCTACCACTTGTAGACCGCCTGTGGTAGTGTTGCTTGGACCTTTTGTGTTTTCAGTCCCGACATAATACCTGATTTTTACTTGAGGAAGAAAAGGCATCTGGTATAAAAAAAATACCCGACACTTTAATCTATCTTGATTAATCTCTCAGAGGTAATGAGGAGGTTTTCTAGGGCAGGGTAATCTGTGTAATACTGTTTTAGCTTTGTTTACAGTAGAAAGTAGACTGTAAAGAGAAGACATTGCAGATGTCAAAGATGTGAAATCGTATTGAGTGGGAGTAACTTGAATTCTTACAACATAGTTATCCTGGAACCTGCTTGGCTAAACCTACTTGGTTAGATATTGATTTAGGGATGAAGGAGAAAAGACATGCCTCTGATGTGGGTTTTCTTAGGCACAATAAATGTACCGTGACTTGGGAGGGAAGGATGTACTTGGATTTTTGAATGCCTTGAAGCTGTATTATGACTTCACCTAGGAACTTAAAATATGGAGGTGATGTAAACAAATATTAAACATTACACCTACAAGGGATGGGAAGTGACAAATGGTATAAACATGACCCCCAGTGAGGATTCTTTTGGTCAGAAATGTTAAATTTTTGGGGTATGTCAGTAGCAGTTGTTAACTTGAGGGAAATTGGAATTTGTCATATGCCTGGGAGCTTTCACTGTATAAATAAGTGAGATTAATTAAAGGCATTACTGCCTGAGTTAAGTCCTTGCAGCTTGACTTCCTGTTCTCGCAAGTCCATGGCATTCATCATACATGCTATTCTTTATATTAACAGTTTGTATACAAAAGGAACTAATTATGAGATACTGTAATTTGGCTCTGTTCTCTTATGAAGGCATTGGAATAGCAGTTGGAGAGTAAAATAGTCTAAAACTATTCTTTGCCTACATATTACTTGCAAATTAGTAAATGTAACTTCTTTTACACAGCTGAAGAAGAATAGTTCAATTCAATTAACCTTTGCTTAGCAGAAGAATTAAAAAGCAACAAAAAAACAGAAAATCAAACAAACATGTCTAAATGCTGTTTAACAACTTAAGAGGAGGAAAGCTTTTCCAGAACCTGCTGCAAGTACCTGTAGACTGCAGGATGGCTGTAAACTAGCGCAGGTTGTGCCTACAGTTCTTTCTAAAAAAGCATTCTCCCTTTACCAGAAACTAGAGGTTTGAAGTTTATATATATAATTTAAAAAAAAAAAGTTTAATTTATTTTCAGTAAATAAAACATCTGCTGTTAAGCATCACAAACATTCTGTAGTAGTATTAGAAATACACAATAATGTATGTTTATACATTCAAGTGCATATACTATGCAAAATAATGTTTGCATTTTCATATTTTCTGCTCTATGAGATGTCTTGCTCTATTGGGAATGGCAAAGATCAGGTATGTTGGGATCTGTGAGAAACAGTGAGTCTTGTTAACAGATGCTGCATAGACTGTCAGACTGTATCTACGAAACTTCTCCCAATTCTAAAATCAATTTTATTGGAATAATTGTTATATGTATTTTCTGGAGCAGTAATTTGGAGAAGGAAAATCTTACATGTACAAACACAAATTGCTAATACTGCACAGATTTTTTTTGTGGTGACATTAGACATGATAATTTTCTTTACTGTTTTTCAGAAGTGTGATGATAAATTTGATCCTCCAAAATGCTATTATTTCAGTGCATACAAATATGCAAAAGAACTTGAGCATGAAACACATCTGATAAATGTTTTGTGATGTAGATGACTTGCCGTGTGTAGTGTAGCTAATTGATATTTGTGAAGTCAGAGGCTTTTGGAAACTACAGCTGCTAGTGAGAAGGAAAATGTATAGGTAGTGTTATCTTTCCTACAGTGACTTACCTTTTTAGGTAACACGTGCTCAGTCTTCATTCTGTTACCTCAGGACTACTTGAACTTCTTGTTAGTTGTCTTCCGATATATGTAATGGCCTCAATTCTACCTGTAGAACATATGAATTTGAGATATATTTGAAGCTGAGTAATTGAGAAGGCATGTGATTTCACTGCTGTGAAACAAGTGTTCTGACAAACTTTGGCACCTTAGGGATGGTTTCTGCCTGCTGAGTGTTGTGGTTTCTTGAGTGTATTTACACAGTGAGCACTGTAATTATTTTTATTTGTGTTTTCTAAGAGGGAGCTCATCCACCTGAATGCAAGGCCTGTGAGCGGATAGATATGTGTTGAATCTAAAGAGCTTTGTTTAGTGTTATGCTAGATGTCATTAAAAGACAAATGGAAGGTGAAACAGAGGAAGATAATGTAGTAGGTAGATCAAAGATGGAAGCTATACTTGTTTCATTGTCAGGGAAACAGAATGTCCTTTGGGGAAGGAAGATGAAGAATTAAGTTTAGGCAAGATGGAGCATGTAACAGTTGCAGTGATTTTTAGCAGTGGTAACTGACCTAGATCCTTGTCGTCTTGGCTCCCTACTAAATCAAGCTCTGAAAAAACTCACATTTGAACTTCAGGTGAGCATAGTATTTAATATCCTAATGGATTGTCAGCTGCTTCAAACTGTGTTGTGAAAACCAGTTCTTTAAAACAATGCAAGATCCAACATTTCTTTCAGAAAGCTATGTTAGAGCTTCTTCCTGTAGTGTGTTGCAAAATAAGTCTTAAGTGAAGGATTCCTTTCCTCCAAAGTGGCCTTTTCCATCTGCTTGTGGAGCTGTATTTTAAGGATAGACATCCTGTATGAGGAAATAGTCCTTATGCTGACTATAGGTGATCTGAATGTTTCTTTTTGTTTTGAGGTTTTAAACAAATATTACTAAGACAGATACTCTGTGTGATGTGGTTTAAACTGTTTTTAATAATTTGAGTTTACCAGAGTAAACCTACCAGAGTAGAAGAGAATAAGATGTTTTTAGGTGTACAGACTAGCATTGGTTTACCTTGTAAATCAAGTAAACTGGGGTCATGAGGCAGAGTAGTTTTGGAAAACTATTTAGATGGCACTTCAAAAACAAATATTTACAATTCAAGGCCCTGCTTGTAGCAAGCATATGAAGATGTAAGCCTGTTTCCTCACAACAGTCTTTAAGTGCTTAAAAAGCTCAACAGATGGGGCTGAGACAGTATAGACTACTTTTAAACTATATGAATGAACACACTACAGTTTTACTTCCAATATCTGTTTGTTAATAGCTCTTCTGTGTTTTTTTGGTTTTGTTTTGTGGGTTTTTTCTAGTCCAAGCCATATATATTTGACCGTGTATTCCAGTCAAACACATCGCAGGAACAAGTATACAACGATTGTGCTAAAAAGATTGTCAAAGGTAAGGTAAAAGAGCAACTTTAACCTTAAGGAAATGTCTCATATTTGTGTGGATTTCAGTATGAAAACTGATAACTTCTATTTCTCCTTTTTCCTTCTGAATGTTTAGTAAGAACCAACATGGATCATATCAGTATAAAATGATCCTGTAGTTCAGCTGATAAATTATGTCCATACTTAATTGTTGTTTCAGTCGATTGCAACCTTTAAATATATTTACCTGTCATGTTTTGGGTTTTTTTTTTCAGTTCTCTGCAAATGAAAGTTTAGAACAATTTGTCAGAAATTAATCAAAGTAACTCTTAGGGTTAGATTTGAGTTTTTTTCATTTCCCTGTCAAATTTATTGGGGAAAGCATCCTACGTTTGTTTGGAGGAATATAGGAGGAAAGGAAACTTGTGAAATAACGAGATCTTTTTAAGCTTGTTTACTTAATACACACTTTAAGGAGGATTTTACTTGAATGTCATTATTAGCTTCACAATTAAAAGTTTAAACCTGAGTCACTGCTGTGCAGGTCAGGGTGTACAGTTTCTGCGAAGTTGAATTGCCACAATTGGCCTAGTAGCTTCAGAAAATCCTATCTTACCACAAAGAAAGTTGTTACCACAGTAAGTTGTTGTAGTAAACAATTAGATAATTTCCTGAAAATAAAATGTATTAATTTATTTAGGAGATCAGTAATAAGTTCTAATTGAAACCACTTTCAAAACAACTTGAACAAAGCCTTGTCAGAAACCCCTGGAATACCAGCTATTAGTGACAAGAGAAGATTGGGTAAATGTAGGATATTTTTGATAATAGAAACGTGAATTGCTGTGAAAAACGATGCTGCTGCAATTATTTAATAATTATTTCATAAGTAATCAGGATTAGATCAAAATTTTGCTCCTTAAAAACTTAACTAGGAGCTGTAATGCTGCCTCATTCCTCCATCTAAAAGCTGACCTCTTGTTTGCTCTATGCAGCATTTCTAGGCAGTGCTGCATCATGTGGCACATGCGCTCTAGTGGTGGTACAGGTGGATCACGTATATGATGGGGTGGCAAAGAATTCCCCACTTGGAATTATTGTTTGTTACTTATGCTTGTTTTTGGAAAACAAAAGTTTACTTGCAGGATGTGATCATACAGTAACTGAATTGTAAACAAACAACCCCCCAGCCCCTCAATCTAAAACTCTGGGTTGTTTCATTGGTACTTAGAAATATAATCTTACAGTCAAAGAATAAGATGCTTGAAACTTATGGCGTAGCCTATTCTCTTCACATTTTAACAATTAGACTTTCCTGAAAGCAAAAAGTATTATTGTGTTCTCATTTATGGTTTCTTCTAAGTTATCAAAGACTATCTGTTCAACCTAGCAGTTGTATCAATTTATTTTTTGTTTGTGACTTTGTCTTGATTTTTCTGGTTGAAGAAACAGATGCTTCTAATACAGTAAACATATAAAATGCAGTTGATGGCTTAATGCATTAAAAGGGGTAGGGAGGAGCACCCTCCCTCTCCCCAGCTTTCGTGCAGAGTTCTCAAACATTGAATGGTTCAACTTGCCGAACATTTTAAGAACTGCCTGCTTGTGTTCTATTTAATTTGACTTTCCATTAGAATAAAAAAATTAGCCCTAATTAAATTACTCTTTTCCTTTAGATGTGCTTGAGGGATACAATGGTACAATATTTGCTTATGGACAAACGTCGTCTGGAAAGACACACACTATGGAAGTAAGAAATCTTCAAATAATTTTCCTCTTAATGTCACTGTCATCTCTTCTCATAACAGTAGTCTTATCTTTCTAGAGATAAAATGTCTGCTTATTTTCATTTTGCAATTTTAATTTTCTTTGCAACATTTTGATACCCAAAATGTATTTTTAGGACTGAGAATGGCAGTTGTTTTTTTTTTTAAGTTCTCAGTAGCAGAATAAGAAACAAAATAATATTAATAGCACATCTACACTTTAGTTTGGGGGATTTCTGAGGCTGTTCTTTTTACTTCTTGCAAATGTTGGTCCCAAATAAATGGTCAAGACTTCCCTTTGTAGATAAAATAAGGGCATACCTGTCAACATTTTTAAACTGATTTGTCTGTTAACTGTTTGTTTTGTCTTTGGGTATTGTTTGTGATACTAGATTCAGTATGAATGTTTCTACTTTTTGTATCTTTTTCTAATAAGGGGAAGCTTCATGACCCAGATGGAATGGGTATTATTCCAAGAATAGTGCAAGATATTTTTAATTATATTTACTCTATGGATGAGAATCTTGAGTTTCATATTAAGGTAAACTTTACTTATACTTACTTTATCTGTATTAAAACTGGAAGTAGTGTATGGTTAAATGGATGTTCTGTATCTGTTTCAAATGCCTGTGTCTTTAAAAATCTGAACATGAGTTATTTTTTAAGTAACTGACTCTTCTTTAAGAAGAATTATGTTAACACTTTAATCTTGTTTCCATTAAACATTGATGGTACCTATCCTGATAACCTGTAGCGGTGTTGATAATGTTTGAAGCTCTTGATTAGAAAAGTTACTTCTTAAAAGGTGCATTTTAGGTCAGCCTTACGGACTTGAGCTAGATGTGATGTTATGTGGGAGATCATAATAATCATACTGGATCCTTCTGATGAAAAAGCAAAGCATTTTTGCTTTCTGATGGTGTATCTTTATTCCCCTTCCCACTTCTAGGTGTCATATTTTGAAATATACTTGGATAAAATAAGGGACCTTTTGGATGGTAAGCCTTTTGTTTATATTGAACACAGAAAATAAAATTGTTCTGGAGAGAGATACTAAAAAACCCAATAACCTTATAATGATGCTAAGATAGGTATGCACTATGCTGATAACCTTTACCTGACAAGGGTTCATCAAAATGAGAAAGCATGAAGCTAATCTATATAGTATTACTAAAGCTGCAGTAGTGGTTGTCTCATGTGTATTAAGTTTTTACAAAGTGCTGCTGAGGAGTAATATCTATGGCTTGGACATGCTCGTTCATTTTGCAAAGAAATCATGTATACTTCACCTTTAGAACTTTTTGTCTTCCAGTTTCAAAGACCAATCTTTCTGTTCATGAGGACAAAAATAGAGTTCCCTATGTAAAGGTGAGTATCAATCTGATATGTTTTTATCTTTCACTCCTCCAGTATGTGTAACTTCTGGCTTGTTGATATGGGGTGTTTATTTGTTGTTGTTGTTGTTTTAAAGGGTTGCACAGAGCGTTTTGTATGTAGTCCAGAAGAAGTTATGGATACTATAGATGAAGGAAAATCAAACCGGCATGTAGCAGTTACAAGTAGGTATTATTTTTTGTCTCCTTCTAGTGCTTTGTTGGTTTGCTTCTGTCATGCCTTAAAAAGTAAGAAAGACAAAAGCAGTGAGTGAAATAATTGAGTTTTTTTGAAGGGTCTGGCATAAGCAGTTTCAGCATGTCTTTCAGAAACAAGTATTGAAATTAATTTCTTGTTAGATGTTGTTACGTAAGCTTGGATTGAAAGGAGAAAGTAAGTCATCAGTGAGGAGCTCTGGATCATTGGCAAAAAGGTGTTGTTTTGCATTAGGAATAGTGCAAAATCCCAGTTTGTGGAATTTGTTTCAATTAATCTATGAATTTCCAAGGAAGGCACTGTTGCTCATTTACAGTTTGGCTGTTCAGTTTAATGTTCTAAGAAAACCTGGTCAGAGTATCTATTCAGTGCTGCAGACTTCAGCAGCATCCCCATGTCCCAAGCTTTTTGGCCTGTGGCATGTAACTGAGATGTAAGGAGCTATGTCATAGGTCTCCCACAAGAAGCAGGACTGGGGAGTGATGGAGCGTTTAAAAGATAAAGCAAAGAAAGATAAGGTGCATGCAAAGTAATACTTCAGTTCTTGGCAGCTGAAGTCACTGTCACAAGTCTTGGAGAGCCAGTTTGAGGACAAGTTTCACAATCTTGCTGTGTCTAGTTCTTTACTCGGGAGAAGAGAATATACAGTCATTCAGAAAATTAAATAACTTTCCTCTTATTTCTTTCATGAAGAATAAAAAAATAATAAATGCTCCTTTTAAGGAATGACTCAGTTCTGCACTACCACTTTGTTGCTCTTAGGTAGTAATGTTCTGAAGTGGGGACCAGACTAAGTAATGGAGGAATAACAGAAATTTGTGTAGAAGGTTATTGTTCTATGTTGAAGTGCTTCTGTGGCATCAATAAGATGGTCCTTTTAGGCCTTTAAGGCATCCATGGTTAAAAGGAAGAAGAAATAGGCGGATGTTCTCATTCAGATGGCATTCAGCTTAACATTTGTTAATGAATTTAAATAATTATTTACATTCAGTATGTCTTGTTTACTCTGTATTTTTGTTTCACTGCGGGGATGGCGAGGGGTGGGGACAATAGGTATTTAAAGCAGGCAGGGGTGAGAGGTTATGACCATGAATTCCCCTTTTTCACAAAAAGATAAAACGTGGTACATTGTAAATCTACCAAAAAAGTACCTTCTGGTATCAGAATATAAATGTGCTTTCTGTTCTAATACAGTAATTTAAATGTGTGAAATGTATAGTTGACAGGTCAGCAAATCTTATCAGTGAGCTTATGTGGTATTAATAGAAGCCAAAGGGAGACTGGATCTTTGTTACTGAATTAGATTATACTGTTAGTTTTACTGTCATTGAGAGACTACTCTATATAGTTTGATTAGCTTTAGATCTGTCATTTCGCTGTGGGAAGATGCTGTTTGTTAAGTTAGTTTGGTTGTACAAATATTTTTGACAATTTATGTATTTTGGATTATAGATATGAATGAACACAGCTCCCGAAGTCATAGTATTTTTCTTATTAATGTAAAACAAGAGAATACTCAAACAGAACAGAAACTAAGTGGAAAACTTTATCTTGTGGACTTGGCAGGTAGTGAAAAGGTAATTCTAAGTTTCTTTTTCTGCTCTGACAAACTCTTGTCTATTCTGTACATCAGATGTTTTACTTAAATGTCATACCGATTTTTTCAGTTGTCATCTCTGAAGTATTTGAATTTTTACTTTGAAATGTGATTTCTTAATTGTAGTTTGGGTTGGCTATTAGATACTACCTCTTTAAGCTGATCTGCATTTCCGCAGTGAGGATTTGTAAATAAGAAATAGGGTGAGGAAATAGGCCACAGTTCAGTATCAGTATCTGTGAGATTAAAAACCTTTACAGGCATGTAGGCTAGATAAGTAGCTGTGTTTATTCTGTATTTCTTATTAATGGTCTTTTTTCCCTCATAAAATGCTTCCAGTTGAATTCTCATTAAAGTTGAGAAAAAAAGTTACGGAAAAAGGGCTGGGTTGTGGGTCTTATTTCTCTGTAGTTTAGTTCCTTCCACTGTTTTATTTCAAACTTTGCTTTTGTACTTTTCCCAGTCTTTTTGAAATACACAAGGTTTTCTGATGCCGTGTCTTAGATTGGTTTAAATGTAGGCAAATAGAATTGCTTAGTTGTGGTCATGGTAACTGCTTGGTGAGAAAAATAATAAAGGGAGGGTTATAGAACTGTAAGTCAAATTCAACCCGTAAGGCAGAAGAGCTAAGGTAGGCAGAATGGTGTCAGGATAGATTTTCTTCAGATTTCTGCTTATATCTAGTGAAGTTCCTAGAGCACTCATGTAGGTCAGATTCAGCCTCTAAAAGCTGTTCTCTCAAATTCTTGCTAATACAGACTCTGCTGTGTTTTCCAGAGGGGGTGGTGATGGTGGTGCATGGTTTGTTTTGTTAGTTTTTTTTGTTCTTTGTTAATGATGACCTCTGGAAAAAATATTCATAATGCGTATATTCCTTTTACTTTAAGGAATTAAAACTTTTTGACAAACTTAGAACAACTTCTGAAGTTGTTTATTTGATAGAAGTTTTTAACTATGCATGTATCTTTTACAAAAAGGCATGCTTTGCAAGGAAAATATTCACAGAAGTTTAAAAACTCAAACATCTTCAAACACCGCGTCCTGAATGAAAAACTGATGGTGAATCAGG